CAAAAACGTTGCAATTCCTTTGTCCCATGACTCTATTTATTAGCGCACAGATCTGAGCGAGAGATATCTAGTAGTGGCTAGATCGAGCTGAAAAACCCCAGTTTCAACTAACTTCTTGTTGAGCAATGCAAGCAAAAGTATACCAAGTTTAACAATAGAGGTGTCTGGCCGGCAATTAGTGCATAATTTGCCTTAATGCTCCTCTCCTCTTGTTTAAGAGCAATTGCTAATATTGTCTATCGAGCAGTTCGTAGCTGATCTCACATTTAGTGCATATATTTTGTGACTCTATAGATCTCGAAACTATAAACGTACTATTTTTTCAACTCAACACTGTATGCTATATAAAAGGTAGAGACTCTATGCTCTATATAAACTTTTTAAATTTCATTCAAACCGTATCGTTTAATTTGAGCTCAAATTAAAAGAAAAACCTATGATCATTTTTTGTTAAGTTATCGTGGTTTAAAACTTGGCAGTTTGGTTTTTTTGGGACAATTAACGCGCAATATGTTTCGCGCTGCTGACGCGTAAGCGGAGATTCAATCCGTCTTAAAAAAAATTTAAAATTGAATTGAGGCAAGCTAATTTATGTATTTAATACTTTGATATCTGCGAAAAATATCACTTTGTACTTCACATAAAAGGTGAGAGAACGATTTTCAAAGAATCTCAATTTTATCTTACTTTTTGAAAATTTCATGCATTTTCTTATAAATGTGAACGCTGTTCTTTACGCTTTAAAAGGCAGTCGACATTTTCAGGGAGAATTGCTTTGAGAAGTAGGCACTAGTTAATCGCAAAACTCATTTCTGTAGTTTGTTTCCGTGCCTTATTTGATAAACCAGCAAATGTTTGAATCACTGATGCAATAATTAAAACAGTAGTGCAACATGAGAAACAAGAATGCAGTATCTTTCATAGAATAATCAAACAAAAGGAAATTAAAAATTAAAAACTACAAAATTAGTGTAAATTTTTTTTAAAAAAAGTCATTTGTTTGTGTTTTTACATGCGTTTCAAACGAGATAAGCAAAAGTTTGTATTGAATTTTGAAAATTGTTCACTTCTCCACGCCACTTGCTGAAATTTTTCTCAAAAATTTCTCGATGCAAAAAATAGCTGATGCTTATCCACTACAAAATATGCTATTTTTGAAAAACGTGTTCAGACTCTTGTTTCTTAAAACAAAATTGCATACTTTTGTAAGCGCTTTCGTTTGCATTCATTTTTTATTCACTCATTTTTATGCACTCGTTTGTTCTCAGAAAACGAATGCATACTTTTGTTTCTTAAGACAAGAGAAACATACTTTTGGCAGTAGGTTGAGATTTTATGCAGTAAGTGTTTATGCCTTCTCCGCTGAAAATTTCTGTATCAAGATCTGAATTAAGTCCTTGAAACCAAATTAACAGAAATTAGTTTGAATTTTTTTATTTAGTTCTATTAAAAATTTTGCTTAGAACGATATGAATGTTGTTCAAAACCGACTTTGCAAACGAAATGCAAAAGCAAACCTTTATTGGTGTCAAATGTTGGTCTACAAATGTATCTTTCTAATTACCTTAGCTACACTGCTTAGTGCTTGATAGTAAAAAACAAAAACAAAAAAAAATCTTTTGTTTTGACTTCTTGAAATAGAAATAACTATGATATACTTTAGTGGAAAAACTAAACGCAAATTTACATGTTCACTCTATAAGGCCCAAAAGTGAATACAGTTTTTGATTAAAATTATTCTGAACTTTCTCAAATTTCTTACATCGAGCAACTGCAAAGAACCTGAGCTTTTGAGCTATCCTCTCTTGGAGACTCCTTTTTTTCCTTTTTTGTTTGAAGCATTTACCACTTTTTTTCGGGTCTCATAAGGCCAGTTTCATCACTTGTAACAGAATTGCTATGGGATTGATTTTATTTCCAATAAACGGAGCAGAAAGAGTTAATCATGCGGCGTATAAAATAATAACAAAAAAACTTGCGTTGTTCAGTGTAACAATTTCTCCGAAGTCTTACGTTTCTTTTAATTTCACACCGTTTTTTTCAAATGGTTAAAACAGGTATTTTCAAAACACAAAAAAAAAACTGGTAAAATTAATTGCTGTCATTCATTTTTTCAAAATATGTTTTCTTGTTTCGAAACTGTTGCAAAAAGGGAAATAAATTGGGATGTTTTTTTCTCAAAATAAGGGATGTAGCATAGTGAACGTTTTTAACGAGAAAACACATTTTTTTTGCTTTCATTGGCGTACGATGGAGCAGATTTTTCAAATATATCAATCGCTGCAATAGCAGAGACAAAAACTTAGCTTTACAATTTGAAAAATGTATCATTGCTGCGATAGCGGCTATTGAAGGGACTTAGAGATAAGCATGTATGCCTGTTAGCATGAGATAACTGCGTTAACTGGGTGTGCTTTCAGACGAAAAACGATTTAGCCTACAGTTACAATTAATTTTGAAAACCACTTGATTTGTGATTTGTTACATTTGTGTTAAAACTTTGCTTGTTGCACGTTCTGCTAAGTGCCTCTTTTAAGTGCACGCTCTTCGAAACTGCAAGTCAAAGTAGGCAAAACGTGAAACAGCGATTCTTTAAACTACATTTTTATGCATGCCCACATCTAAAAAAAGTGAAAGCAAACCAATTATAATGGATATTTGTGGCCTAACAGGTTATGTAATCGATTTTCTTTTTGCTCATAGACAACAAAAAGGAATCAAGAATGACCTTAATCCATTGTTTTAGCAAATTTAATTTTAACGATGAACCACTTGAAATCAATTTAAATGGATTATTTTTCCACTTCATGTTTGATTTGCAACGTCCAAAATTTTGCATTTTGCAAGTTTTTTTGCATTTTTAATGCGTACAAGTGTATGGCCTACGCGATTTCTCAATCTAAGCTTTCTCAAATTCCAGCCCCCATCCTTCTTCCCAATGTTTACTATTGTCCTCCCACGGGATGTAATTTTTGAACCCCCTGTAACGTTTTGTCGGAAATTCTACAGGTCAAAAATGCTATTTTTAAAAAGTTTCTCATTAAATTAGGACAATATTGAAAAGAACAAACAAGATTGCGCCAGAAAAACTGAAATTTAGTAGTAGGCAGCTAAAATTAGCTTAAAATGTGCAAATTATATTTTGCGCGTTGAAGTTCGCATCTCAAAAAAGTGGAAAAAAACCTATAATAGTGATGTTTTGTTGTCATTAGCAATAAAAATGAAAAATGATAGAGTATAATTAACTTAAAACGGATTGTAATATTTTGTTAAATAATAGCAGTATAATTCACTTTAAACTAAGTATAATCGCATGTTTTTTTATAGACACTGACAACCTACCCTGACAAACTTGAGATTTACATTGATTTAAATAAGTTTTTATACAGATATTGTATTGTATAGAAATCGATTTACGATAGTCAATTTAGATACGTAAATTAAATTAAAACGGATTGGTACGGTGAAAAAATGTTTCTTTAATCGTTTTAAAAAATTTTATGTGAATTTTTGCAAGTTATTGAACAAAATCGAAACAAAACTGATTTAACTTAACTATTTTGTTTGCGTCGAAGCTTGAACGAATTGTGTACTCAAAAAAAGTCTCCATTAGAATTTCAGAGAACTAGAGTTCTTCGTGGAGAGTTTTCTCACCAAAAACTATTGCGTTTAAGGAAGTTCCAAAGTCCCATTAAAATTGTGCAAAAATAAGGGTTTCAGCGGCAATGAGAAATAAAACAAAGCAACGTTTTTTAAGATTTCATTGTCTTTATCAACGTTTGAGGCTCATTTTTGTTAAGTTAATTACAAATAATTAAAAAAAAAACAATTTTGAAAAACTTATTTTCGGTGCAGAAATTTAGACATGAGTTATCCTCATAATTTTTTGTATCAAACTAAATCAATTTCAAATTGATTCAAATCAAATTTTTTAGGTTTCTGATTTCTTATCTGTATAAAATTGACTGCCATCTATTTCTTGCCAGCACGGGGTTAAAACTCAAGTTTAGTTGATTATTATTCATAGAACTCTTGTGGGTGGGCTTGGTAATAGACACACATGCAAGGCCAGACCCCGGTATTTTACAATTGTGCCGTATTCGCTCCTCAAGTTATCATGACATTTTGATGACGAGTGCGAGCTATTTTTTAGACTATAGTCAGCGTCCCGGTTTTGGTGCAATTGAAATTCTTGTTACAATCTCAAATCTTGCGTTCATTTTTTGCTCTAAACTTTGTGATAAACGACGGAAAATTTGATATGGTACTTTTCTCCAGATAAAATGTGTGTTTCAACCAGCCGTTTTTAAACTGATGTTTTGTTCGGTGGCGTTCCTCATGCTGGAGGGACCGAATGCTAGAAATTTATTTTGGCTTATTTTCAACCAATCAGAATTGAGTATTCGGAAACTTCAGGGAAATCGCGAAAGTTAGCAAATAAATCCAGGCAATTAGTGTTATTATTGCCCAATTAGATACGAAGCAGATGAATGAAAATAATGCCGGATAAAAAGCGAATTGGAACAAATATAGTATTTCAAGGATACCAATTTACAAAAAAAAACGAAAAAAAAATTATTGTATCTTCACCTATTCTATCTGCATTTATTATATTTATTATATTAACATTTTCTGTTAATATTGACTTCGATTTTGTGAGAAAGGCATTTAGCCAATAGGAACGCTCAGCGATTTTGATTTGTTGAAATTTTCCAAGCGTTCGGTCCCTCCAGCATGAGAACCCTACCCTACCCGTTTTATTCTAATTGAAAACTACTCGTGTCCGTGAACGAAATGACTCACAGAAAAAGTTCAGTGTTGATCGATTACAAACTGATGTGAAATAATAGCGCTCCTTCGATCTTTCTCCTCCCTCCTTAGCCCGCCCCTGCTATCGATATAACTTTCATGCTCATTTTGAACAGTTTTTAATTTTGGGACTATATTTTGCTGATGAACTTATTGGAGAATTCCGTCTGAAGCTGAAACTTCTTCTTGGCTTTTTCATTAACGCATATTTTTCATTTAATAGTTTTAAAATATTAACTTTGAAATGATATGAACATCGAAATATGAAAATAGAGATAGAAACGTTAGAAAATAGAATCTAACTGCCCAATTGTTAGAAGAAGAATTGCAAAATTTAATCATCATCATCATCTGTGAATACAAAATAGTCGTACTCTTCTAAAAATGAGGCGATCTCTTTGCCAACCCATCCGCCCAGCAGAATCATTCCGGGGAAAATGACTGCCTCTGGAACGAGGGCGCCCAGATTCTGGTTGGGTTGAGAGGCTATGCCGCCATTGATATTAGTCTTCAAGTTGCCCTCGTGATATGCTCGTTTTAATTGCAAGGAATTAGCCTGAAAGAAAAATTTAATTTTTTTTTTCAGTCCATTACAGAAAGCGTAGTTAATAGTGGAGGGGGGGGGGGGGGAAGGGGGTGGGTGATGGTAGTTTTTTCTTTCATTTAAACGCTGTCGCTTTCTGACAATGACCTTGTTTTTCGTAAAACTGAAAAGTTTTAAAAACCCATTACAATTTTTCTTCATGTGAAATCTATGCGCGTAAATTGCATGGTAAAACAGCTAGAGGTTTGATTACCTTTAAATTTTCACGCCAAACCGTTGCTCTATAAGGGACATAAATTCGCATGCAGTGCTTTTTACCTGTTTGTAACCTAGCGTGCTGTTCCGTCTTAGTAATGTCTGGCACAGTCTGGAAGCAGTCCTCATTTTGCAGCCGGGTGATGGAATATTATGCTTCAGTTGCAGACGGCTTCAATGGAAAAATCTGGCAGATTTACTGTAATATAGACAGTCAAATGCCACAATGAAAAATGCGGTCGAATTGATCCGGCTAAAACATGGAAAGTTTGAATATCTATAATTTATTCTGACGGTTTTTTGAAGTGAACTCTACATTTAAAAGGATGAGAAAGTAACACATAACAGGAGAGAAAGGAATAAAAGCGCTTTCCTGACTCGACATGAAATAATCAGAGGTGGTCTTGAGACTTAAAATGGTTAAAACTAGTTGAAATGAAATGATGGTCAGTCACTTTTCTATAATGCTTTCATATTGCTACGGCAGCTGACACCGAAACTAATAGGTATATGGGACAAAAAATGAGATATACATGCAGGCTATTATTTACTTTCTTGCTCCGATAAATTTCTGAGATTAGAACGAGAAATGGTACGAAAAGGTAATACTCCTTCGGGATATTCTAAACACAAACAGAACTGAATTGGAGAATAATGAGCTAAAAAGTAGCATTGCAACTTAGGAGATCAATTTTTGGTTTCGCCTTATTATCAAATTGTGGACTTCAGTTTGTAAATTAGGAATGAAAAAGCGAAAAGGCGATTATAAAAATAAAAAACCAAAACCGTGAAAACCTAACCAAAGAACTTTATTATGAGGTTATTCGCAAAAATTAACAACTCACAGTTTTTTTTGTCTTTTTTTCTCCACCGGTTTTTTCTCTTTGGTAGTAAAATCACCCAAATCAGATTGATTACAGCTACTGAATTTCCGTTTAGGAAAATGGGGGCGTATCAAGTAAACATTGAAATTCAACCATTTCGGGATTAATAGGATTTTTAACGACTTTAGAAGTTGAAATCAGCTCGAAAAAAATCGATGTTCAAGCAAGGCAGCACTTACCAAATGGTATAGTAAGACTAACAGTAAGAGTAAGCTACAGTAGATGAAAGTATTCGTTCATTCTATGACGCATTTAGTATTTAAACCTTCATGTCTGTAAAGTGAGTATAGTTTCGTGTTGCCTCATCGCAAATATACTCGGCTATACGAACGAATATCAATGAAGCTAATAAAATGAGATAATGTCATTACGAATGAACAAAACAATAAGTGACCATAATTTATTCGCAAACAAAGTGCTGCGTACTTTATAAATTTTATCAAAGGTAAAAATTTTTCAAACAAACGCAGTTAAAAAAGAGTAACCGGTTGCTGCTAAAATAGCACAGAATGTTACGACCACATAAATACGAGTTGGAAAATTTAAATGACAGAGAACATTGATCGGTGTTTTTTTTTCAGATAAAAGTCAATGGAATTAGTAATGAAGCTGCAACACTGCGTGAAAAATTGCCATGTTTAGTGTGGTTTTCAGGTGATTTCCTAGCAATTCAGTCTAAAACGGTAGAAAATCAGACCAGTTTTTCTCAGCCCTGAGACTGTCTTTTGAATTTTCGAACTCGAAATACGACCAATGGCACTTTATTATGATACAACATACAACAATTTGGAATTTTCTTTGAGGTAGTCGAAATCGGGTAGAAAAAAAATACTAAAGAAATTTTTTGTCCTGGAGTCGCGAATAAAACTCAATTTTGACACACGTTTGCGACAGTAATTCAGTACTTTTAAAGGGGCATAGGAAATTAGACGATAAGCAAATTAGACGGTGCAAAAACGTTATTAGACGAATTTTCTTTTTGTACAGATCTGGCATTTCAGACGAAAAAGCTAGGAAAAGGAAAGGGCCACTATAATTTTTTTTCTAAGACTCAAGTTTTACGGCTACAAAAGAAGATAAAATGTCAACAACTATCAAAACAATTAGTTTAAATGAACATAAAATGTCAAATCCGAATATACAGGAGATTTTTGAATTGAATAAATTATCCATGATTGACTTGTAAAGTTTTTGGCCACCGAAATTTAACTGTTGTCTGCAAACAATTTTATTTGCTCACGCAATTTGTCTGCAAACAATTTTAATCTCACTCACTTTCGTCTATTTTCTCACAATTACCGTTTTGCAAAATTGTCTCATTTCCTTTTATGTACCTTAACAAATCCAATGGATGGTTCCAATGTTGAAGGCAGGCCGGTGGACGACAACAATTGCTTAATGAGGATATTACAGTTGCCATGTCTTTGGAAACGTGCTTTGATTTTTTGGCAGATGAGTGCGTGGGCGCCATCGGTGTGACAGAAAGAGCCGCAGACGCACTTGAAAAAGCTCGTAATGGGGGCACCGAGCCTGTAACCAGTGGCAACGCGAAATTCATCATTGGTTAAATCCAGCTGCAACGTTGACGATGGTAGAACGTCTATCCAATCTCCTGAACCAATACTCGCACATCCCAGAAGACTACCTTTGTCTTGGCCATGACACAGGGCTAGCAAGGACAAAAACTTCTTCCTGTAAACGGGAGAGGTCCAGCTGCTCTGTTTGGCTGAACCGACAAAAATACGGCATAGTGAAAAGCTTAGCCCAGTTTTTTTTAAACACCTGGGTCCTGGAAACAAGGGAAAGTAGTTGCATGGAATATAACGTGCGTAAATCGTTTAGCGATGTCGCATCAGAGACTTGCCACTAACGAAGGTCCAGCAATTGCTAGCGAGGCTGAAAAACGAACGCGATCACATTATCCAGACCGGCCGGATCATGTTATTTTCAAGCCCGTGGCAATAGAATGCCGAGGGGGAATTGGCGACAGCAGTCTGAAGTTTATCAGAGAAGTATCGAGAAGAATTGCCGAGAATACCAACGAAAAGCGATCAAACTACTTTGTCAGACAAAGACTCAGTCTACAAGTCCAACGAGGAAGTGCTGCATGTCTGACAGAAGCTACACATCAAGTTTTTGACGAATATCTTTTTTAACCTGACTGTCTGACAGTTTTTTTAAACTATTTATGTTTTAAATCAACATCTTCTTCATTGTTATGTACCTCCGTCTAATTCATTTACCGTCCAATTTCTCAACCCGCACTTTTAAACCTTCCGGAGCAAAAACTTAAAAAGTTACAGGGACAAGGCAAAATTACAGCAAACTTGCAGATCATAAAAAGTTTGCGCAAAAACGACGTTTTTTTTGTAGTTTATGCTTCATTTGGGTTGATAAAAAGATTCAATAAGCTAGCAAGATTTTTTGCCGCTCTTTCGCCGGTTCTTCCTTTCTTCGCCAAAGACTAGTTAGGCAAATTGAGAAAAAAAGGCTGGTTTGGCTTATGCAGAGCGAAAACAGGTATCGGTCAATTCCATATGACATCTGCTGAAAAACATTGTCCTACATTTTAGAGCCCAAGCAATTTGTATGAAGAAAGCTCCGTACATTTTTTTTTCACAAACCCAACGTTCTGGTTATACCATAATATCAATTATTTTAAGATGAACCTCAAAATGCAAAATCAATTAGATTATTGGGCTAAGAACAGTTGCAAGCAAAGTATCAATTTAACAAAAAGATACTTGAAACTATTTCTTTACAGATAAATTCCATGTCAGACAGATTCTTTTTACGAGAGTGCGAAAAACAATCCATTTTGTAATTCAAACTTGAACCGCAAAGCCGCATAGATCATCGACAACGTAGTCTCTGAACGAAAATCTTCGATCAACCATTAAAAATTATGTTGGGAGTTTTGCGAGGAGAGAGAAAACAGCTGTTTGACAATAGGCCGTAAGATATATCTAGTTTTTTAACGAGACCAAAATGTGCTCTCATAAAGCGCACCGTTGTATTTGGTTGTTTTCGGGAATCCGCAAACAAGACTTTAAGCATGTCAAATATTGCTAGAGGTTTTTTTATCCTAACTGCTGATGGCGGCTTCAATTCTAGCTCCTGACGACGAATTTTATATCAATCGCTGCTGCGGTGATTTTATCTTAATTGCTGATGGTTACTTTTATCCAAACAACTGGTGCAGGATTGACCTGGATTTACACGGCTACCCGGGTTGACCAAAACTTCTTATCATACAATTTCCATATATGAGAAACTTCTTGTCATACAATTTCATACAATTCCATACGTACAGAAAATTGTATGAAAACTCTATGATAAGCATTTTTCCATATATGAAAATTGTATGATAGGTGTTTTCCCATAAACCAAAAATTTTGATTTTTTCTTTCTGAATTTAGTTTCTGAATAATTTTCGGTTGTAGTTGCAACCGAACACAAGTGACAAAGACCTTGGTTACTGAAAACAACACAGGTTGGACGGTCTTGCATTTACAATGCATAGAAAACGACCTGAATTTTGCTGTCTTTCACAATTGATATAACAAAAGTAACAAACTTTTATTTTATGGCAAAATTTTTTAATGATGATTATATTGAATTTTTGAATTTTCAAATTATCAGACATTGATCAAGGCGTACATTAACACCCCATACAAAAGAAAGCGGAATTTTCAGCGTTTTTGAAAAAAAAATTAAGTGAAAAAAAAAATAAAAAGCCAATTTTATCGTATCCAGGACTACGTTATGCACACAAAATATTAAATTTTGCATGCAAAAATTTTTTTTTCGAAAAATGTTTGTTTGCGTACGAAAATCGATTAATGGTTAAAAAAAATGCCAGTCATACAATTTCCATATATGGGAATTGTATGATAAGCATTTTTTTCAAAAAACGAAAACCTCAATTTTTTATCACCAGATTGTTTTATTAGAATCAAACAGCCACAGAAATGAGTTTATACCAGTTTTCAACCATTTTTAGAAATTGTATGAAAATTGTATGACAAGCATTTTCCCACACACTTGATGTATGGAATTGTATGATAAGCATTTTCGGTGTATGGAGGTCAACCCGGGTAACGAATTTATAAACAAATTTAAAAAATGCGGTTTTTGTTTAAAAAATGGGTTCCGCTTACAGAATGCGGATTCCAACACAGTCCGATCCACTACAAACATAAATGACTAAATATTTGTTTGTGATTTCGGCAAGCTGTGCAGATGATTACCAAATTTGATATTTTGTTTTGAATTTCGCAAATTTTGCTGATTGAGTTTCTGGATTCAACGGCAAAAAAATCAAAGAAAAATAGGTATGTGGCGAATTCCACAACAGAGCTTTGTCAACCTTTCTTGCAGAGTTCACTTACAGCCTCAAAATAAACGCTTTGGCTGAGTAATGATCTGTCAAATTTCAGGATATGTTTTCTGTCACTGAAAAAACTCAAACTAGAAGCTTTGCACATTTAAAAATGTATTTTGTTATGAAACTAAGAATTTTAATAGACTATTAACAGTTAAATCCCCTAACGCCATTTATAGGTGGGCTTATTAAGGCTATTAGAGACATAAAACACATAAAAATGCAACTAAGCGTAAAAATTTCTAAGGGTTTAGTTCATAAGTAGTACATCAAAATTCAAATTAGTTAATTTAATTGAAAAAAATGGTTACCGTGTCATTTTAAAACAAGCTTTCGAAACTATGGAGGGATAGGAAATTGTGTGATCTTCGTTTTTGTATTCTATAGAGTTGCGTGGTATCTAAGTTTTATCAACCCGGAAAAAAATGAAAAATAGCCATTGGTATGCCTGCTTTTTTTGTGCGCAAATGCAAGGCCGCGTGTAGTAGTCTATCAACAAAATTGAATTAAGAGCATGTTGCACATTCAAAGCTGAAAAAAATTATAAAAGCACTAGAAACTTGATAGAAACTCAAAACTCAAAACTCGTCTTAGAAAACTCAAAATTTATACCTGGATTATATTTCCAAAACCTGTTCAAAGTTTAAGCCAGGAAGTATGGTAAGTTTTCTAGATAGTCAGTGGGAAGCAATAAGGATATTTTAAATTTTCAGCATATAAAAGGTTCTAGAGCAATAAAAGGCTCCCGTGCAATATTCTGCAGATCTGAAGGAAAATTTGAAACCAAAAGACTCTTAGATTCGGTCTTTTGATAAAAAAGCCTTTTATTTGGTCGTTTGATAAACGCCCAAAGTCACACGTTTGCGTTTTGCACTACACATACCAGTGATATCTGCCTAATAAACCATTTACTTTGAAAGTGTTCAATAATTACACATATTCGAGAACCAACAAAAAATGTTCGTAGAATACAACAATCTAACCAAAAATAAGGAGTAAGTAGAAAACAACAAGTGGTATAAAAATGAGTCTAGCAAGTAAAAAAAAAA